AAATTTTTTTTGCCGTTGGTAGTTCTTACTTACTATTCCTTGTTATAATAAATATAACCATTATTAAGTCATTCTTTAAACAACATTATTATAACATGGGTATTAATAAACCGATTTGCATCATTTTGAAAAACTTGGTCCAGACCCAGATTATAAATAAGGGCGTGTTAAATGTATTTAGAATATATTATTTTAACAAGAAACTATATTTCTAGTGATTATCTTTATTTATATTTTTATAATTCATGAAAAATTAAAAAATTTTATATTCCGCGAATCCCGCGCAGGATTTTTTAAAAACTGCGATTTGCCCATCACTACCGACCGATGACATCCCTGATTCTCACTACAACTTAAAGCATCAAATAACTAAGTTCAAAAATACATGACTCGAAAATACTAGACGTACTTTATAATTCCATAATTCAAATTCTTTAGTATATCAATAATTCACTATAGCAAAGTGAGCTGTATTTGAGCACTGTGTCTTTTTGTTATTTAACCTGTAGGTAATTTCTGTTAGATTTATTTATAAATCTGGTTATAACGAAACTTTATTTTAACGGGCTTCTTTGAACCTAATGAACTTTAAAAATTTTAAATTTATATTATTGAGTTTGTAACATGTAGATTTGTATACTTAGTAATTTAATATCATTTTAACAATTAATTCATGTTTATTGTTCATTTTAAATCTGTTCGAGGTTATTATTTATTAATAAATTTCTCTTCAGAATCAGGCCCACAGAATAATTGTGAGGGAAATTAATTGCACTTATGCAATTATTTGAACCCAATTAATTTATTGGTGGTGCTGTTGTTTTAAAAATGCAATTACTTAATAAAATATGTAATAATAACATAAACATAAGTATATTTGTAGATATTTGACATTAAAAATTGTGTAGTTTAAAACAAAATCAATCGAATAATCCCTTTTTTGAATTAAAATTGACAAACCACAAGAATCTTAACTTACATTGCTTCACAAAGACATGTATATGTTATGCGTCATTTGTAAATTCTGTCAATTATTAATTGACGTCATTTTTCAATCGGTATAAAATTTGAAAATTAAAAAAAAAAATTGGCAGAAAGATTTATTATATATATTATGTTTAACCGAGAATATTCAAATCTATGCAAGATATATTGAAATTTATTAATGTAACTAGAAATGTTTGCATTGTTCACGTAAAACGCATCCACAGTGCCTTAAGTATAACGAATTTTTATTTCTACAAGAGCAAGATTTAGTACTGCAATTCGTTTTTCGCAACTGCACGAATTTGGTAGAGTTTTTTTTGACTTGAACCATTATTATTTGCACTGTTACTTCAATTCAAATTATATCAGTAAAATTTTAATTGAAATTCGAAAATTTTTATTATTAACTTCGGAAATGTATGAGTTAAGTGTTCTTAGGTATTCTTGAGTTGAGTATTTTTGTATTAGGTGTCCTTGAGTTGGAGTTGAATTATATGACTTAAGTATTGAATATTATAAGCTTGACGTTCCTGAATATTATAAATTGGACATTTAATATTTTGCTTGGCGGGATTTTTTAATATATTAAGACATTCATTGTAGCCTTCTCTATCCATCAAACTTCGTTTAAATTCTCGCGGGTCAGAAAAGAATAACTCTGTGAATTCATTAGTAGAAAGAAAATTAAATAATATTTTTCAAAATTTATTTAGGGAATTGATATTTTCACACCCATATAGGATCCTGCCACACCCCTGTAATCACGTGACACTATACATGGAATAGTATATTACGATAATATATATTAGAGAATGGATATTCCTTTTTGATATTGCCACACCCCTGCTAATAAAATTAATATAAATTATTGGGGTTTTGGTTAGAGTTTAGAGTTTGCAGTGGTGTGGCAATATCAAAAAAGGGTGTAGAAATATCAATTCCCTAATATATATTATCGTAATATACTATTTCATGTACGGTGTCAAGTGATTACAGGGGTGTGGCTAGAGATGGGAAAATCGAGGATTTTTCGAATCTACTGCGCAGGCTGCGCAGCCTGCACGGCCTGCATTACGGCTAATGCGGGCCAAAATTGTTAAATTCTGCGTTATTACGAAAAATTCCGCCTGCGCAGTGTCCCATCCCTAGGTGTGGCAGGATCCTATATGGGTGTGGAAATATCAGTTCCCTTTATTTATTTATTATTATTGGCATCATTAATAGCTATCGTTGATTATAATACGATCTGCATTAAGAATTGACCTGGCTCATTTATCAATCGGTGGAAATTGAAAAATGACGGGCGTCAATTAAAAATTGACGTAAATTGAGAAATGACGCACAACAGTCACGTGACTTGAAAATCGTCATATCCGGAAAGGACACGTACCAATCACCAACCTTAGTTTAGGGTACGTGAGACTTCACGTGACTCGTACGTGTCCGTAGACGGGAAGTCTACGGACAGTGCAAAATCACGTGTTTAAGTTGTGATTGGCTATTTAGCGGTTAGGGGAGGGGATTTCATATTATATCATGTGATCGCACTGTCCGTAGTTCTGCGGTCCGTAAACTTCCCCATCGTATCGAAGTCTGGGTCACATGATATGTTAATTTTGATAGAGCTGAGATCAAGTTTAGCCTAGTTTTGCCCAGTTTCGCCTAGTTTCGGACGTTTCGGACGTTTCGCACAGTTTCGGATGTTTCGTAGTTTCGGACATTTCGCCCAGTTTCGTAGTTTCGGACAGTTACGGACTTGGAACCTTGGGCGAAACTAGGTTTCGGAGGCTTTGGAAGTTCATCTGGCCGATAGTTTCGGTTTAGGCTGTAACACGAGTGCTGATATTAAATATATCACCAGACGATTCCAACCCTTCCGACACGTGACCATGCCCAATTAGATAAAGGATCAGGTGTAACGTGAAAATCAGTCTTTTTAAAAAATCGCTATTAACTCGAAATTTTAGTGTAAGCTATGACCTTTCTTATCCTTAATCCTAACTCTAAAGATAATGCTTATTATTTTAAAATCTTTCGCTTAATTCGATTGTTTTGATTTTACGTTACACCTGATCCTTCGATATAATTGGTGAGCTACTAATGTCAATGATTCCAACAAAATCATGATCAAAACGAGTTATAACATGATAAATCGAATAATAAAACACATATATAGTATTGTAGTAAGATAAATTTAGGCAATGATCATCATAACAAACAAAGTCACAAGAAAGTACCATCAAGTCCCTACATGACCATACACTTCGTATTTCATGCTCTGTTCCTGGTACGAAAGTGAATAATTTATTAGTAAAAGACTACGGACTTACAAGAATGCACATCAAAACTATACTAATATTAATCTAAGTCGCATATAAAGTCCGCCTAGATAACATAGTTATTATTCGACTTACTGCACATATAATCAAACTTATGGTTGCAAGTGAAGTGGTAAAAGTTAAAAATGCTAATAAAATTAATAAAAATTGATAAAATTAAATATAGGAGCAAACAAAGAATTTATGACGAAAAACAGTTTCATCTGAAGTACCCTAACCGTGCCGAAAACGAGGTGTCGGGTCTATAGTTGTTATCCGAAACCCGAAACTATATATAAAATCCCGAAACCGAAACCCTTTCCGAAACTCTAACACTATACTGAAAGGCTTAGAAATTTAACTTTAAACTTTAAGACTTAAAGTATAAAATAATTAGATTGCATTTCAGGAACATTTTAGTAAATGTGCATTAATTATTAACATACTAATTTTAAAGTTTCGAAAGGTTTCGGGTTTCGGGTAACCCACCAATCAATCCAGGATCTGGTGTAACGTGAAATTTTACAAAGTTTTTTTCAAAAATTGCAAATAGCTCAAAATTTGCTTATTAAATAACCTTCTGCGCTCTAATTAAAAACGTTTCTTGTAAAATTTTACTATACGATACGATTTCCTAACCTTAAATATGATTTTTTTCCTTTTATTTATATGTTGTTTTAATTTTTAGATAACAGATCGGATGCTTCGGAAGTCATGACCGACACTTCGTTTTCGGATCGGCTAGGGTACTATTGCATCTGCAACTCTATCTAAAATCCACCTTCCATTCATGGTTTTGCGTGACAACGTCGCACAGCTACTTATCTCATATGTATATAATATACATTATCAGTATAGTATGCTAATTTTATATGCTCAAATGCGATATTTGTAGCATACTCTACTACTTCACTAAACCACGCACCACTACTATTCGTAATACCGCAACCGCAAGGAGGGGGAGGGGGGATTTAAACAAACATATATGCGATACGACACAGAATATTTGATTAAGTCTCATTTGTCAACCTTAATCACATGATTATTGAAGATTACGTATCCTGTCATAGGCAGAAGTTCATCTGATTGGCTAATAAATTCAATTTAATTTTACAGTTTAGAGTACTTTTTTAAAAACCGAAAACTAATCATAATGAAATAAAAAAAAACTGTATAGAAAGTTTCATTAGAGCTATAGGACTCCTAGTCAAAAATAAAATCTAGCTTAATAATAAGTTGATTTTATCGGGTTTTGAGGAGTTACATATTACTATACTAACTTTTTTAAACGGTTGAGAATTAGATCTTATTTTTGTTTATGGAGTCCTACAGTTCTAATGAAACCTTCTATAAAGCTTTCATTATGATTAGTTTTCGTTTTTTTAAACTGTATAATGTAACTTCTGCCTATGAATTTTTATCGGCTTGTTTAATTTCCGGAGACAGCTAACCGAGAGGGGGATAACGTTAAACTATTCAACTCTTAACGGCCTTATTATCGCTATGACAGATGACAACTTATTACTGATTTAATAAATACGTCATTAAAACCAGAAAGGCTTTTAATGCACGGTTCGATACCTGTTAATCAACATAATTACTTTCCTTATTTTGATTTATACTTGAAATTAATGTACGTATAAATAAGCATTCTTCCATCCAAACAAAATCACATAATAATTCGTTAAAAAAAAAATGCTTGTAAAAAATTTATTTCCGTCGATTACTCTTTGGCATCTTGCCATATTTATTACTATTTTTATAAATCAATTTATTGAATCCGCATATTTGATTAATCGAGATATGTCATTGAACAGAAGTAACGTGCCCAAGAATATACTCGCTACTTCCTTGATTGGAAGTAAGTTCATCATTTCAGAATGGTTTATTATTTTTATTTATAATACATACAATTCTACAATTCATTTTTAATAACCATCTTAATAATTACAGCAACTCATCTTCCTCCAATATTAGAAATTTTGAAAATTTTAATGGATCGAGGATATAATGTATACTTTTATTATTCATATAATTTATACTTAATTTTCTTATTTATTATTTATTTAATTTTTAGGCAACATTAATATCTCCAGGAAACTATACGGCTCAATCCATCCATTATCGGTCTATTCCACAAGTTATTTTTGAAAATGAATATTTTAATCGCAAACGTCCATTAGAAATGATTAATCCGTTCAATGAAGATGACTATTTTAAACTTATAGCCACTATAAAAGGCGCTGCTGTTCAATCCTACTTACCTTATTATAAGATTTATGAACAAGTTGCTAAAGAAATCAACGCAGATTTATTTGTTTGCGATTATTTAATAAATCATCCGTGCTTTGATCTTGCTTGGAAATTGGGAAAGCCAGCTGTTGTAATTTTTACAGACACATTTTATGGTAAGTGATGCATATTAATTTTATTTATAGTCTTATTATCTTATTAAAAATACATATAAATAAATATTAATTCTCGTTTATTAGTATCTAGTCCACCATATAAATCGAATCCTATATATAGACATGGATGCCATGCGAATATGGAAAATGAATCATTTTATAACAGATTTAAATGTGAAATTATATTTCCTCTAAGAAACTCTTGGAATACAATAGACGCTATAAAGGATCTTAATGCTCAAAGAGCAATTGTGGGTGTAGATCCTCTTTGGAATATGAAAGGAAGAGTATCAAATCTTTTAATATTAACTAATAATTTTTTTGGATATGAGGTAATTATATATTAAATTCTTGATTATCATTTAACAATTAACAAAATATACACATTTTATGTTAATCAATTTTTGATTAATACTATTATATAGATACCAAGTGCTGATTCACCACTTCATCAAGAAATTGGACCTATTCTACCTGATACATTTCCAAGTTTAACACCGGTTATTGACTCATTTCTTTCTACTCATCCTCGAACAATATACTTTGCACTTGGAACCAATGTAATAATTCCTCCTCAAAAAGCTATTATTATTTTAAAATCTTTTCTTGAATTAATCAATGAAAACGTTATTGATGGCTTGATTTGGTCTTATGGAAAAACAGATATCTCAAAACTTTCTCAATCAACTAATTCTAGCATACCATTATCTACTATATTGAATAATGAACATCCTCATATTCATATCTCTAAATCTTCGCCTCAATTCGCAATATTATCTCATGAAAATACTAAAGTATTTTTAAGTCATGGTGGTGCCGCTAGTTGTCATGAATCTATGTATACTGCAACTCCAATGCTAGTGCTTCCTATATTTGGTGATCAACCTAGAAATGCTGAAAAATTGGAATTTGCGGGTATAGCTTTGAAACTTTCAAAGATGAATTTAAAAGTTGATGATATAGTATCAAATATTAAAAGATTATTAAATGAAGAAAGCTTTAAAAAGAATGCTGAAAGATTACAATTTTTGGCCAAAGTTAACAGCAAAAGAAAATACAGAGGAGCCGATTTAATTGAAGTAGTGATGAATACGGTAAAGTATGAAGGGATTGAAGATGAAAATGGTGGATTTAAGATTGATAATGAAAACTTATTAAGAGATTGGATTACTCCTGATACTAGAATGGGTTTTATCAGAGGAAAATATTTAGATGTTTATGGTGTTGCTATTATCCTATTTTTAATGTTAAGTGGTGGTTTTGTTTATGTTTTATTGAAAACTGTTAGATACATTTATATTAAATTTAGAAGCGGAAATGTAAATTCTCAAGCATCCTTAAAGTCAAAAAGAGAGTAATCAAGAACTCATTAAAATTTTTATGTGCACTTATATATTTTATTATTTTTAAATAAAATCTTTAGCTTTTATATTATATTTACGATTTTGATATCATCTTCACTTCTGTACTATATATGTTTTTTTGTTATTACTGTACACTGGCGATCATAAATAATGCAACAAAAAAAAAATTTAGTCGGATCGTATTATCTCACTCAATTCCGGGCGTATTTGTTAAATTTTTTTTTTATTTTATTCACAAATACTATCTTTTTTAGATAGCAAAATTTTAATAATCGTTATTATTACCAATGCGAAGATAATTGTGAATTTATTACAAATCACGTGTTGCATTATTTTTGATCGTTTTTGACAAAGATCAGATCGCGTGAGTTGTGCCACATAAAACATATAAAAATGGAAGTTTCATTGTTGATTCTGCATCTTGTGTAATGTTAGAATTACTTACAAATCAAAAAAAAAGAACCATACAACTTCCACCAAATGAGCCCAAATATTGCTTTCTCTTCAAAAAGGGTATACCACAAGAGCAGTAGATCAGGTCCACCATGTTAACTTTTCTATGGTTTTGCAAATTAGAAAAAAATGGTTAACAAATCACACACTTGAAGATTTAGAAAAGGTTGATCATCTAATTTTGTTGGATGAACCAACCCAAAGAAGAATAGTAAATTTAATTACCTCTCATCACTGCTCTACTACCATTGAAGTGAGGACCTACCTCAAAATAAATAAAGATATTGAAATTTTGGTGTCTACTATTTGGTAGATACTTCAAAATCATGGTTTAGTGTTGGGAATAAAAAAAAAAACCCTACCTGAGCAATAGTCATCAAAAAATACGACTCACTTTTGCAAAAAAATATGAAAAATGGATCATCGAAGATTGGTCCAAGGTAATTTGGTCAGATGAGTCAAGATTCCAAATTTTTGAGTCAGATGATAAGTAATACTATTGGAAGTATCATAGAGAACCATTAAATTAGTTTCATATAAAGTCCACTATGAAATATGGTGGTGAATCAATTATGATTTGAGGTTGCTTTACCTCTCGCAGTGTTGACAGCTATTGTAAAGTCAATAGTACATTGAATATAGAACTGTACCTAAAGATACTCCATGAAGATTTGATGTAGACTATTGAGGATCATAGATTTGAAGTCGGTGAAGTTGGTTTTTACCAAAATGAAACATCTTGTCATATGCAACCTTGATCAAATGTTGGCTTACAAGGAAGAAGATAAAGTTTTTTAACTGGCCTCCCCATTCAGCTGATCTAAACCCAATCAAACACTTATGAAACAAAGTTGATCATCAGCTTAGAGATCTTCCTAGTCAAATTCAAGCGAAAAAGACCTCTAAGAAAAAATTCAGATGGTTTGGCAGGCAATCAATGTTGAAACCTGCATGAGGTTAATTTATTCAATGCCAGAACGAATTCATGATGTAATTAGAGCCCAGAGTGGCTACATCAGATGGTGATAGCTGAAATTTATTAGAAAAAAAAAAATTTTATTTTTTATATAAAAAAAATTTTTTAGTTTTACAATCATGTTGCTGTTAAAATGAGCAAAAATAATGCAACATGTATATTGAAATAAAGCTCATGCCTCCAAAAAATTTTAATCATTAAATTTTAAATCCTTTTTATTAATGATAATATTGCTATTTGTGAGTAAAATAAAAAAAAATTTAAAAAATACGTCTAGAATTGCGTGAGATTATACGATTCGACTAAATTTTTTTTTTGTTGCATTATTTATGATCATCAGTGTATTAGGCAAAATAAGATTTAAATTTGTATTAGTTTAAAGAGGTTAGTAATGAAGTTTGCATTATCTAATATCAAAAGTTTGTTCGAGAAATAATACTACCTGTCTAAAATCATATTTACAAAACTTCAAACCAATCAGTTTATATTATTTTTGAAAAATACATTTTTGTAATTTGCTTTAATTGAAGTAAATCACAAAATTTTACCAATTTTTCAATTCATATGCTTAAAATATAGAAAATAAATAACCAATTATTATTAAACACATTTATGATGTTTTGCACCTATTATAAATTTTTCTAAGTTTTTTTTTTAATTTTTGTTATAAAAATTTTTGACTTAAATTTTTTCACATTAGAGCTAGTTTTTAGGTTAGTATTAGGGTTTTTAGGGCACAGAACAATTTTACTTAGAACACTTCATACTGATTAATTGTTTGTTTTAAGATAATGCATGCATAGTTGTAAAACCCCATAGATGCGTTTTAGTAAAATCATAAATAAATATAGTTCAGATATTTATTTAATCTTTTATTAGCTTAATGAGCTTTACAAGTTTAAGAAATATTTGATTTTATAATTGTTTGTTATCTGGTCTCAAATATTGACTGATTTTCTATAATAATAAAGATAGTAACTAAATACAATAAAATTAAGTAATTATTAAATGATATTAATAAAAACAAAGTATTATATATTATAAAATATAAATACAATATTTCTTCTTTAATTGTTATATTTAATGTTTCTATCTATTATTTGTTTATCTATTATTTATTTAATATTTAGATCTGTTTTATCTTATATATATTACAATTGATATCTGGATAATTATCTAAATACTCATCAAATTATGCAGATATATAAGTAATTTTCGGATAAATACATAACAGATTGGAATTCTAATTGAATTATTCAAAAAATCTAAATTGAGATTTTTTTTTTTAAAAGAGTAAGGATTGGCTTTGGTCTTTATTGACCAATTTTGTATTGTATTAATTAAAATATTTTATATAAATTATTACAAAAATTTATAGTTAGAATTAATTTATTTTTAACTCAAAACTTTGTTATAGTAGATTATCAAACCTCTTCTAAATTTAATATTGCAATGTAGATTGTGTATATGCTTGTAACAAAAAATATAATTACTTATTTTTATATTTAATTGTACAATCAAACTTCTTTATAATTATATTTTATATAATTACACCTCTATATAAGTATCTAATTTTGTTAAACAAATTACTATAAAAATATATAAAAACCTTTATATAAGCACAACTTTTTTATAAGCACATTTTTTAAAAAAAGTTATTATTATTTTAACTAAATAATTATAGATAAGGTTGACTGTAGTTATTTAAATATTTAAAAGCTATAATTGTTAGTATTAGTAAACTATTTTAATATACTACTTTGTATTTTTCTATTTATATTTGTTTATATATATTATTTAATATTTTATAAAATAAACTAATAAGTATATTTAAAATAATATTGTAGATTGTAAATATATTAGATTTTGTAATTTAAAGGGTTGTATTAGTGCTCTATATTAAAAAAGTTGTAATAATAAAGAAAAAGCATTATATAATTAAAAAACTAATATATAATTTGAGTTTGTGTTTAGTAAAGAATTTGTAAATAATCTGTTAAATTAACTAATTTAGTAATATAGAATTTATAATGCATTTTAGCTAATAGGTGTTATTTTCAATATATAATTTCGATGATCTCTCACACCAACTTTTTCAAAAAGACAGACCTACGAAAACTATATAGTTATTATATTAAATATAACAAAACTCTACTTTAGGTTAACTAGGGAGGCTATTTACTGCATGCTTGGTTGTAACTGAAAAGAGCTGAAAAAGATTCGAACCCTTGTAAGCGAAGTCCCTTGGTAAAACACAAGTACTATCAAGCAAAGAAGTAGTAGACAAGCTCTGGAGTTTTGTCAAGTGCTATAAAGGCCTAGGCCTAAATAGTTACTTGACTTAATATAATATTCTATATAGCGTAACTCTTACAACTCCTTCTCAAGTTGGTTCTCCTTTCTGCTCTCACTATCGGATTTTTCTCTCGAAATTTTTACCAAAAAGTGGAAAATCTGGTGTACCCCCTCCAAAGGATTGACATTGTTTACCTTTCCAAATTGGAAACATTAGTTATAAGAAAACTATGAGACAAGTACCGGACCTACGATGGATGACATATGTCACACTTAAGAGGAAAATAAAAACTTTGACCATTCTCCCCACATGACAAATGGAATATATTATAACATGGAGATAAAGTAAATATAGGGTATTCTTTATTTAGTGTTATATAGAATTTTTAAAGCCTAGCATAGGCAAAAATAGTGTCTTCATGTTTTCTTTTTTGTTTTTTCTCTGTTTCTTTTTTTTATCTTTTTCTTTTTCTTTGTTTTTGGTTTACATTTAGGTTTTGTAGTTAGTTCCCCTTTTTTTTTATCTCCCTTTTAGTTTTTTTTCCTTATTTTTTGTTGTTCTTTAGGCAAAGATTATGGAATCCTCTTGCTTGATAATTAAAAGAGAAGGAAAAACGGATCGAAGATAAAGCTAGGAAGACAATTTTGAGGCTTGTCGTGAAAGGGGAAAGACTCTTTCATTAGGGACTTTAAGTAGTTAGACAAGCTATTTACTTCTGATTGAAGTAATGCGGCAGGTTGCACTTAGACACCATTAGGGTGGCCGGGTGATGCTAAACTTAGTTGTTAGGTACATTTATGTAATTGTAATAGTAATTTTATGATCTTAATAAAGTACTAGCATGACTGCCTATATTAAAAAAAATATATATATAATTTATAATAATTACAAATAGAGTTGGTATATATTTTAAAGTTTTTATAATATAAATTTAAAAGTATAAATAGCTTATTTAATAAGAACTTAATTTTAAAACTTTTTAACTATAATTATTTAAAATAAATAGTACAAGTATTAAATTCATTATTGTAATTATAAATTAATATATTAAATTTTAGTATCTTTATAAATATTATTCCAATAATTATTTTATTAAAAATATATTAATTATTAATGTTTGTTATATTTTGTAGATATGAAATAAAGTAATGAGTTTTGTTTCTATTAATATTTTCTTTTAAAAAAATAAAACTTTTTATTATTATTAAAAGATAAGACTAAATATATAGTTTGTATTGTTATATTTTAGTAACCAAATAAATTATTATA